CAAGAAAGTGGAAAATATTTGAGACAGGATGTTGGCTCAAAAGGACTTTTGAATTGATGCATTAGATAAATTTATATATGTTACATATAAACCAGTTTCCAAAGTTCTATAATAAATACCAGATGACATAAACCAAAATAAAAGATTTCTTGAACACACAAAAGGATTATGTATTGTCTCCTGATTCCTCTGTGTCTTAATCTTTGCCTGCCAGAAAACAAAACACTGTCTATAGAAGCCTACATAAGGATAGGAAGGAAGTTCATATGTGTCCCATGTCCCAATGTCTTGCCAGATACCTTCCATTGTTATTATCCCAGAGTCCAGAAATGTCTTCCATTTTTTCAAGTTATCCTGCACATGGGATGCTGCTCTCCAATTGGAAAGTCTTTCATGCTGATGAATGCTCACCCATATTAGTTATGCTTCCAATGTTTCTGTTTTTTCATTTCCCTTTCAGTTTTCCTTTGATTTTTAAGGCAGTAGGTTTCTGAGAAGTCATGTTCAGGAGTCCTTGAGCAGTCGTGATTCTCAGACTTGGAACATCCTAATTTCCCCTGTCCTTCTTCTCCTAACTAACACACTCCCAAACCTGTCTTATTGATTTATAGTCAGTCCTCCCTCTAAAGATAAGGACTATTTCATTTAAAATGAGGCCATCATTGCTCTAACTAAAACTTCTATGGATCTGCTGATGCTATTTTCTGTGATTTGACTGTGTCAAATCCTACTTCTTCCCTCCCTTCTCAAATTTATTTCCTGATTCAGAGTAGACACCCTGCACTCCCTGTGCCTCACATTCAATACAACACACAAACAAGATTCATAACCTCAATTCCACATAAATATTGATTTATTCATATCAAGAGTGCTCATTGAAATCTCTTTATTGATTTACCTCCTGAACATGTAGCAATGTGAGAAGCAGGAGGAAATGGTATCTTGACCTTCTGGATAGCTTGAACTAGAATCCAGGATGTTAGAGTTTAAATATCAAATTTTGCAAGTAACACCACATACCATCTTTGTTTCTTCAAGACACTCAGTAATGCAGATCTTCCTGCACATATCTCTGTGATTCTACCAGAGAAGGAATGTACTTTCTTCAGAGACTACATTTGCCTTTTTCAACATTTGCCTATATTCTTGAAAGAAAAATATTTAGGTACATATGCAAAGGAAATAAAATCCATCTTCTGTCCCCTGCATCCTTATTTATCACTGTCTTACCGGAAATTAGGCAAAATTTCAAAGTAAAACTAAAAAGAACACAAAATTTAATACTTAAAGTAATACACAGTCCATTACTCATTTGCTTTTCTCTATGTAGGAAGAATCTATGTTTTGTGAGTCATCCAAGGTGAATTAACAAATCTAAATTTCTGCTTGAATAGCATTTTAGTTAATAAATAGATACTTAGTGGTGGGAATTTGAGATAGCCTGGAGATGCTAAGCAACAATTTGGTAATTTTACTGTGCTTAATAACTAGCACAAGAGACCTATACATGGGCAGTGATCTTGAAAAAAGGCTTTTTGAGTCCAAAATATTGTTTACCTACATTTATAGATTTTTTTGTAAATACACATTATGTTGTTAAGCTTTTCAAAATTAATGTGAAGGGATTCTTTTTTTGTTGAGTTTTTTTTGTTTGTTTGTTTTTTCTTTTTTGGTTTAAAATGAATGTATTTTGTGAACCACCTGTTCACACATTTTTTAAAGAGATACTGTGCAGCAATTGCCTTCAAAAATTTGGGTCATATGGTCAGCCCCTGAATTAATTATCTGATCAAGACTGATTGGGATGAGACCAAATAATTACTCATTAGCATTCAGCACCACTGTCAGGCTGCATTTTGCATGCTACAGTGTATGCTGCCCTTTTTCATTTTACTCAGTCTCCTTTTTGGGTTACACCACATTGTTCTACATGACTGGGAAATGAAATTGAAAACAGAAAAAAAAAAGTTTGGAGAATAAAGCAGACATGACTTTATATAAAAAAATGTGCCTTACACAGTTTTGCTTATTGAACAATCATATTGTCTAATAACTCTTTCTATAAATCTGCCACATACCAGTCTCTGCAGGAAGTCAATAGGAATTTTGGGCATAGATAGTTTGAAGCATTCTTCAAAACTAGTATTCTATGTTTAAGTGATCCAGTTTGCAACTGGTTGAACTGTAAAGCTATATTTCCTCTTACCCTGTAGGCTAATAACATTTTTTTAGTCTGAGCAGCTCAGTATTGTATTTCAGCAGCCATGCCATTTAGCACTGTGTGGTGCAGGGTTCACATTCTTGGAGACGTGAAAGAGAAACAGACAGCTGTAGGTGTCCCCAGATCTGCTTTGGACACCATACTTCATAATGCTAGACTTAATAAGCACCCTGGCATCTTAAAAGAGTGATAAAACAGAATCTGCTTCAAGGTCTTGTATGTTACATAGAAAATGCATTGGATTTAAGATGCAACGTTCTCCAAACCTCTGCCCATATGGCTATGCCTAAACTACTTAATTGAGTACACTCAGAGCTCCAGTCTCATGATGAGGCCAAGTGGAACAGAACAGCTGCATCCATGCTATTAGATTACTTGCTGTCCAAAACAGGATGTCTACACTGGGAATGTGCCTAATTACACATTTGGCCTCTGTCCTATGATAAGTCCAAACCTTTGTTGGAGATTTGTCAGGAGACTACAGATTGGCATGAACCTCAAGAAGACCAAGACTCATTCAAAACTGTACAGACACTAAAATTTCAGATCCTGTGGATGTCAACTGGCCTTAGCTCAATAATAGATACAAAAATGAGTAGAAAAAGCAGAAAGTAGAAAACATATGCCAATTAAATTCACTGGAATAATCTTGAAATTTTGCCCTACCTGACTCTGAATTTTTTTTTTACCCAACAAAGTAACTATGTAACAATTTCTGCTCATTATCATAGCTGTCTAGAAATCAGTATCACTATTTATTTAAATTCTGAAAGTAACACATTTTTTCCTAAGTAGGTTCTAAAAGAATGTTTAGAAAGATTGTATCTGCATGTACTGCTTTCAAAAGTGCAGCAAAAAATTCTTTAAACCATTAAATTTTTAAGTATCCCCTGCTTGATCTGAAAGATGCCACCTGTAGCAATCTCTACACTTAATTGTAGATTTTAGAGCAGAATCCAAATAATCTAAAACCACTGACATTGTTTCACAAGGGAAATAGCAAAATAGAAGTCTTTGTTTTAGAAAATATTTTTTAGGCAATCTGTCTGAGTTTCTTCTCTTCTTAACCATCACTGGCCAGGAGGATCCACTGAAAAAATTCACCACATATTTCAGGCCCCTGAACCTGAAAAGCACTTAATCATTCTCCACTTTGAAGATCATAGATTTTTGGATATGTTGTTCTTTTGATATGAACCATGTTTTTAAGGAAAATTTCCAAGTCATTCTCACATCTCTTGCCTCAGTTGGCACTGTGGGAAAATATTAGGGCACATGAAACTGTAATCGTACCACATAAAACTGAGTGAGAAGTGGTGCTCCAGGAGGTCACTTGAAGGGCTGTAGAGTCACTGTAGGGCTGCAGAGTCCTGAGTTCTGGAAAGAATCAAGTGCCTCCACTTTGCTTTCCTCCACCACATACACTTTCTGCATCAGCTTGTCTTCTCTGATCTTGCCTACGAATCAGTCTCTCTTTCCTTTGCTATAAAAGTACACTGATCCACTGCAAAATACTACTGTGTCTGTTGATTCTCTCTTTATATCCTCTCATAGATTTTTATGGCTCCTGTGGATTTTGCTAGTTGTCTGTTCTTTTGCAACTTTGCAGACATACCTTTATTTTCTAGAGAATCTGAAGAATCCACATCTGATGAATACACACAGGGTCCTGTACTTTTCCTCATATTCTGCCCAACAACCTCACTGCTGTTGAATCATTCCCAGCTCTGGATGGAGGGAATGAGGTAGACTCCTGCAGAGTCTGACTCAGAGGCAGACAACTGGTATTGTGGTGCCTGTGACCTGTAAGGAGGTTTTGCAAAACTTCCAGGCCCTAAGCACTAATTTCATAGCAGAAAGTCTTGAAGAGCTGGAACTTCTCACCTAAACTGGGTTTCGTGAGGGCTTCCAGAAACCTGCTGGTTTATGGGGCGTCATTTTTAATAATAAGTTCAGGAAATTCCAAAGGAGTAGAAGAATCCTAATGTAGCACCAATCTCTTTGGAACTGCCTGATCAGCTAGAGCTCAGTCACTGGCAGCATCCCAGTTCAAGTAGTGGGGAAGGAAAATCTATTTAAACTTAACTGACACAATTTAAGACAAGATGTATTAATAATAACTGTCAATAAAATTTTTTTTTAAATAGACCATGACACCTGGTATCAGTTTTTAGTGCCACTAAAAGTGTGAGAGATGAAGCTAGATGAATGGGTGTAATACACTTAGTTTTGCAAAATATTTCATATGGTCTGAGCTATTGCACTTCATAAAACAACCTGCTTAAGAATAGTGATATGTAAGTCAGCTAAATAATATTTGTCATAAGGTAGTAAACTGTCACCAGATCAAGAAAGTTTTATATTGCACATGCACCTGGTAGCAGACTTCATGCTTTTCCCCATTTTCTTCAGCTAATGATATCCACCATTTAGTTTTTTCTCATGAAGTATGAGTCTAATTCAGAAATATATGCTGAGTTAGAGCATGAGAATTCTTATCAAACCCAATTGGATTCCCACTGACAGGCTAAAGAATGCAAAATTTAAATTGCTCAAATGCCAGGAAGTAAATGAATGATAGAAGGTTCTGCAGAACGGCAGGCCTGAATGCTTTTATCTTGGAGCATTTGTATACGCATGCCATGAGTAAAGTATTCTGACTAATCATGTTATTCTCTGACAATTTATTACAGTCTTACAGTTAGCAGAATATATCTTTCCCCTTGACAAGTCCCCTGGGAAAATAAGATGAAGTTAGTCTTTTATCATTATCTCAAGGTTGTCTTTCAAGATGCTTTTATTACAGTGATTTTGGAAGCAAGCATATTAAGGCAGAGATATTACAGGACAATTGTACAAAATAGTATTGTCAAATACCATGTAAGTGAATTTAGGTATTATCACAAATATCTTAGAGATAATTTAGGACTAAATAAAAAGAAGAAGAAGTAAATCAGCTCTTGAGCCCTAGGGTACCTTTCAATAGTAATAGTTATAAATCAGAATGATAGCCTGAAACAGCCACTGATTTTTCCTCTTAATCAAATAAGATCTGAACCAAGCCATCATTCTAGTAGAAAAAGCAAAATTTAATTAGCTTATCTAACAGTGTCATTTAGTGAATCAAAAGCTTTGAAAGGTCAATGAATTTTGTCCTTATCATCTCATTATCTTCCATCACTAACAAGATATCATTAAGCAACTTCATGTGAGCATTTAATGTTGCAACAGCCAGTAGCACTGCTATAATTTAAAGGGAAAATCCAGGCCATTTTAAAACATTTATTTTTATTGAATTTTTCATTCACAGAATGCTCCTAAAGGTCACTGGAAAAAGGAAAACAAATACAGTATTTTTACATTATTTCCATATTTTTTTTATCTCTGAAAAAAAATAGTAGAGCATTTTTAATTATCCCAGTTGCTCAGACATACACACAACTCAAAATATGTGTGCAAGAATATACAGAACAAAACACCTCAAATGCTTCATTCTAGTCCCACTAATATGAGTACAATCACCATATAATATCCAATATTATGACCTGTGTCTCTACAAAACCAGTGGAGGACAGTGATGAGTGGCATTCATCAGGGGTCAGTACTGGTGCTGGCACTGTTTAACATCTTTGTCAGCACCATGGTCTGTGAGCTGGAGCACAGCCTGAGCAAACTGTAGTAATAAGACAAGGAGAAATAGCTTCAAGCTGAAAGAGGGTGGATTTGGATTAGCTATAAGGAAGAAATACTTCTCTATGAGTGTAGTGAGATACTTGAAAAAGTTGCCCAGCAAAGTTGTGAAAATCCCATCCATGGAAGCTTTCAAGGCCAGGTTGGTTGAGATCATTGGAAGATGCCCCTGCTCATGGCAGAGGGTCTAGAACTAAAGGATCTTTAAGGTCTCTTCAACAAAAAACTTAGTCTACAATTCTATGGCTCTATGAAAACCATTTCAGAGGCCTCTGTCCCATCCTTGCACAGGCAGGTTCCCCTTCCACTACACAGTACATTCCTATCCAGCACCACATGGTCTGTTTTATAAATGTGACCAGTGAAAACAGTAGGGTTTGGAAAACAAGTGCTGTGTGCACTGAAGGTCATTTCACTGCTCTGCTTTAGAGCACAGATACACAAACTCTTGAACAAATACATCCGAGAGGGCAGCAACCTGTGGTGAGGCAAAAGTCTGCAGTGGGAGCCTCTCACTACAGATTTGCCTTCAGACTAATTCTAATGAAGAACTGCACCCTGGAAAGTAATTTTGTGGAGTTACACTGAGCACTGCTGTAAAGGCAAATAGTAGTACATTAGTTATAATAATTTGTTTACATTCCCTAAAATCAATGGAATTTTAACATTTGCTCTTCTAATAGCATGGAGAGAAGGTAAATAAAATAACTTGCTGAGGTTATCGCCATCAGATTGTGATCATTTTACCATAAGTCAGGTCTGGAGCCTAAACTACCTACACTGAGAAGCTGTAATGATATCTAAAAATACATGCTCTTAGCTGAAAATCCACATGTGCTTCAGCTGAGATGTTTCTCTCCCCCCCTCCACACACACATTTTATTTATCGTATCTATGTACTTTAAATTGATTTTGCTATCTTTTGCTCATAGAAGACTAGAAAAAAGGGCTAAAGGAATTCACATATCTTACACTATGCTGCTACAGAGTTTATGTGGCAATCCTTCATTGTGAAAGGATGCAGGCTTTACAAAATCAGAAATCTTAACTACAATGGAAGTTATCTCTTAAAAAAACAAGATCAGCAGTTTTAGACTAGATAAGAACTTTTAAGATAGGAAACAGAATACCCTCGCTGATAGCAGAAAACATCTGAGTCTCTGAGACAGGTGATGAGGCAGAGAAGGGTGAGTAAACTTTCTTCCTGATCCTATTCACTGTTGTTATTGCCACAACCATCTCTGCTCACTTCCCATGTCCATTCCTTGGGCAGATTTTTCCTCTGAGCCAGCCTTTCACATCAGCCCCCAGAAAATGAGAACTATGCCTGTTTCTGCAGATGTGGGAGCAAGTGGCTTTCTTGCTGGCTTTTTGCGCTAGCAACCACTGCTGCTTCACCATCTGCTGCTCCTCTTTTGTGTCTCCAAGCAGCTGTAAGTAAAGCTGCTGTATTTAGTTCACATTCCAAGTTTTTCTTAGCAACCACCAAGGCTAAAAAAGAAAATCTTTTAATGAGACCTGAGATTCTCCAGTCACTGCAGCCGTACTAGACATATGCCTCATTGACATGACTTGGACCCATCCAGGGGTCTATCCAAACCATGGTAACAGGGAACTGAGTGAGAGGCAGAATAGGTAATTAGAAATTTTCCAGCTAAGCAGACTGTTTTTGTCTCTTGTTGAGAAATGTTTTGCTGAAACTGAAAGGCAAGTTTTCAGGGAAGGTAAGCAGCCAGGTCAGTGCAGCTGTGTCCCAGCTGGGAATTCAAGCAACATAAGAGACTTGGATTTGATCCTTTTGCTACCTAGCAGCCTGGGAGGTGTGGTACTCTGAGCCATTCTCTAGTCCATCAGTTTCCCACCTCAGCTGCCTATCATTGCAATACTGCCAGGAACAGTCAAGAATGTAAGCTATGGGGCTTTATGAGGTGAGATTTAGCCATTTTATTGCCTGCAGGCCAGAAATAGCTGAATGGCACTGGACAACAATAAGAACTTTTCTAATAGTTAAACATTAAAAGGTTAATCTCAAGACTACAAATCCATAGGGTCTGGGTTGATAACTTTAGGAATTTTAATAGAGGAATTGTATGAGGCAGTGTGTTTAAAAGTGTTCATTACAGGTATGCATAGAAGTGTGATATGTTTTTTCAGGAATGCTTTTATTATCTCTGCCACACAAAATATAGTAGTATCGGTGTTCATAGAATACAGAAGTCTCAGGATCACACTTTCAAGGCAGAGCACATATTTTTGCCTGTGTCATTTTTTGCTGGATCTCACAAATATTAGAAGTGAAAGCTAAAGTCCCAATTTTCTTAGATGTACAAAAAAAACATTTTGAACACATGAATTTGTTTGTTTGCATAAGCAAACAGCAAAAAGAAAGAAATTAAAATGTAAATCATTGAACTAAAGAATAAAGAGTCTAGGAGAGCCTATAAGTGAGTGATCCTTCAACCCTGCAGAGTCCTTTTTGACAAAACAGATGAAACTACTTTTATCAATAATCTACGGATTAGGGTTCATGTTCATATGTTAATGGGATAGACCATAGCAGCCCCAGAGGAAGTGTAATGATCAGTTGTGGCAATAATCCACAAATTAAAGATCTCTAATAGCATGCATTCACTTGACAGACTGCAAGGGTTTTAAATGCATGTTGCATTTTATCATGCCAATGATCCATGGATTAAGGGCTTGCATTTATATATAGCACATTGTAATGGCTTTGAGGAAGCTATTAGGGTCTATCATATCAATGATCCATGAATAATGAGAGTTGTTGGAGAAGTATCTTTCAGCCCACTAGGATATTTTAGCATGGTTTAAGGTTTAGCAAGTGCAATATACTTTATGTAGCACTTCTTACACTTGTATTTACACAATGAATAAAAACAGTATACAAGGCACATGAAGGCAAAAGGAAGAAGTACTGCTTCAAGGGGAAAATAATGGTTTGTTTTCCTTCAGTGCCTGAGATCAGTTTCTGGCAGCGATAATCTCTTACTTCCTGCTTAGTGTAAATTCATATGGTGCTCATAATATTGCTACAATCAAAAGCATGTAGGATACAGGCAGGATTTGCAGCATGACAGTAATCAAGGATGTCATCAAGGTGGAATCAACAGAGTTATGAGGGGTTGGGTAACCTCCTAATAGTGTTTCAGACAGGGACTGTTCAGTGTTATGTGAATCCCATTCTATTTCATTTTGAAATATTCTGACATCTCTCGATGTTCAGAGATATACACTATGCAAAACTGCAACTTTCTAATTTCTTTCTTCCCCACAACATCATGTCTGCACAAAGATTTAAAAGTCATCATTATCTTTAAAACAAACCTTGATCAAGTACCACCTCTTTCCATAGGTTTCTAAATCATGGAAGTCTTTTAAGTTTATAATTTTGAGCATGATTGAAGGAATATGAGAAACAATACTTCATACATTAAAAATGCTCTCTGAAAATGTCTAAACTAATGTGGCACCATTTATGAAAATTATTGTTCTAAAATTCTTCCATCTGCCCAAGTTGCTTCTTCCTCAGAAATTGTCTCCTCCTTCACAAGATCACCTCAAATTGAACTCTTGGCCTTGAGAATACATGAAGGAGGAGGAGGGAGGCAGACCCTCTCTGTCCATGGCTTGGCAACATCATCCTGCTGCCATATTTCTCAGTGACTGCTTGTCTCAATGCCTATGGATGCTCTTGGGAAAGAAGGGACATCTTTTTCACAGGATACAGCTGGAGGGGTGAGGCAAGAGGACAGAAGAAATAGCTGTAAAAATCATTCCCATCTCAGCTTGTTACCACATCCAACTCCTTTGGCAGTATGAAGCAGAGAAAGCATTTCCTGCTGTGGCTATTGCCTTTATGGGTTACTGCAGTCTGGCTGCAGTCATGTACAGACAACTGCAACCCACTGGATCGCAACACTGGGAGCCAGCCACTGCAGCTGCTAACTTTGGACCAAATTTGAGGCTAACTTCTTCAGATAGTGTATAAGGAAATTTGAGTAGAGATCAAACAAGATGTAACGCGAGTGTTGGCGAATTCACGAGCACAGCATGTAGTGACTCCTACAGTCAGCAAGTCTTAGTTCAAGCTCCGTTCAGAGCAGTGTAAATACTCCTGTTCCCATCAAAGGGCTTTTTTCCAGATGGAAAGTTATAGTTACAGGTCCAGGGAAACTCAGCCTCTCTTTTACAATCAGCAGTGGGAAACAAGAGGCAACTTCATCCAGGGTTTCTGGCGGACGTTCCTTGTCCTTTCTGTCCTTTCTGCAAAATACAAAATTATACCTCTATTTAGCTGATGGATCTCCATTTTCTCCCTCATCTTTGTAGCTGGATTTATCAATCCTTGCAGAGCAGATAAACCAGTTGTAGTGGTATCACTATATTCTCTAAAGCTAATGAACACCACATAGAACTGAGAATTTGGCCAGGTGACAGAACCTCATACAAGGATTTGCATTCCCTCCACCTCACAACACACCTTTTTTTTTTTCCTTCTTCTTCCTAATTAAATGGAAAGACATCACAGCCAGTATTTTGAACTATTGTTAAAATAAGCTTTCTAAGTGCTACCTAAAATAATTTAAAAATATGATTGTTGGTGAAGGAAAAAGAAAGACATATAATCTCCCTGTGTTTTGAAAGGCTTTTTATTATCATTGCACATATTAATTTCTCTTTTTCAAATAATTTATGCTGTAACAGCAACTTCTCTCTTCGGTCTTTGTCTGCTTTACCAGGTAGATCTTAAGCCACAACACTGAGTTTGTGCTACTACTGATTTTTATTGTGGTTAGGAATGTGAAGCCATAAATACAGGGTTGTGAATTCATCACACCACCAAGCTGAGATGTGGGGTAATGAGGGATAACAATGCTATTCAGATACCAATAACTTCAGCAATATCTAGTGCAATGTAGACTATTACAAGGAGATAAAATTGCTTTTTGTGCAGGTGTTCTCTTTTCAAAGAAACCTAATTGATATCTATAGTAAGAGAAAATATTAATATCTTGAAAAATATGCAGATCTTTTTCTGCTGCCATCAGCATGAGGTTGCACCTCAAAATACAGGGAACGTGCATGAAGGGCATGGAAATGCAGTTTCAAATGTGGCAAAGGCAAAAGAAAAAGTAATTCAGGGAAACCATCTGTCACCTGGCCTCCTGGCTCAAGGGTAGAAGCTAGAACCAGTAATAGAGCTGAACTTTTTAAAAAGCATGGTATGGAATATATTCTAAGGTTCCAAGGTCAATAGCTGGTAAGCTTGAATTTTGTTCTAGGTGTGCAGGCTTCCTCATACCTTCTGAAGAAGATCCAAAGTCACTGGTTCACATTAACATCTGAAATAAAAGTACAAAAATATGAAAATTACAAATAGCCCACAGAGGAGAATATGCAATTAACTTCTCAAATTTCTATTGAAGGGTCCTTAGAAATAGGCTGGAATTAGACTTCATACAATTTCAGTAGACAGATATGGCATAGTTCAAACGTAGAGAATTGTTTTGGGTTTTTTTCCCCCAGGAGTTAGCAGGATTTTGATGAGAGAGAGAATGCTGGGCCAAAATTCTTTGACAATGAAAAAGAGCTGAAGCTGGGTCACCTAACAGTTGGGCCAGTCCTCCATGCTGCTGTGGAAAAGTTAAAAGGCGCATGAAATTTATCCTGTGAATAACCTGCTTTTGTGGTCATGCTCAGAGCATGACAAATGAATCAGGGGATTTAGGGAGAGAAACAGTTTCCGGATCTTGACTAAGCTAAGTCAACAGGATATTTGAACTAAAGTTTTGTCTGTATGCTTGAGTACAAGATTGCATGTGTCTGGAAGATTTAAGGCCCATAGATACTTATCTAGTGTGGCTAGAGAGCAAGAGAGCTGAATTATGGGCTCATTCATTTGGATTCAGATGTGTTGGCACTTCATAAATGACCAAACTGAAGCAGCTCCTACATCCTCTTTAACATATTTTATTTCCAGTTTTGGGGCTGCACAATAGTGATACAAATACAATCTTGTAAAATCAAGTAGAGATATCTTGAAAACAATTCAGAAAGAAAAAATAAGCTTACCTACTCACTGTGCAGTAACTTGAGATCCTGGCTCAGAAACACACACACACACACACACACACACACACACACACACACACACACACAAAAGAATGTTATCTTAAAATCAAGAGAAAAAAAAAAAAACCTCCAAAAAAAAACCCACCAGGTTGTTCCTTATTATTTTTAGTGAATGATAAAATGATGATGAAAATAAGAATATGCCTCGTATAGTGATATAGATCTGACAAATTTCTCAAACTATTGAGGATTATAATTATTATTCTTCAATCTAGTTTAAAAGTTTTAATTTTATATAGCTGAAATTCCACATTAGCATCTAAATAGCTTAGGAAAATATGCCATACCAACAAGTTATTCATTTAGGTGTTTCTGCTGAAATAAGTCAAGCTACCTCCACAAATTATTGTGAAAGAGCAGGGTTATGTTCATGAGGGTCCAAACATTGATAAGCTCATACATGTCAACTTTCTCTCACTTCCCCTACCCTCTAATTCACTGTCATGCAGTTCTGAGGTCTGAAAATGTGCCAGCAGAATCTCACCAAGGATGTGCATGTGCGACTGTATGTGATGGGGCTGAGAGTAGATGTGCTTGGTCAAAGTGCTGTCATGGGTTGGCGCTGTCGCAATGCCACTGCACCCATGAAGATATATTTTCCTCAAATGGGTGTCTATCAAGTGTCTAATCTCTGTGTCTTTTTATTGTGTAATCTGGGGTTACGATGGAAAGGTAAAAGTAAAGAGAACTCTGTGTTTGAGAGGAGCTGTTTGAAGGTGAGCAATATCTAGTAAAGGGTTTCTAGTCATTTTAAGACAACAAATTTAATTTTTTTTATATTAACAAGAAAAAGGCCATCTAACTCCACTAAAATTAGTGGGCAAAAAAAGTCCTCTGTGCCCAGCTTTGCTATAGAGGAGTGTGAGGCAAATAGTTCTTCTCCTGTTGCACAAAAATATTTTTGCAAAGGTGTAGTTGAGATGCATTCCTTTCTTTGGAGATTAATCTCCAGAAGTTGGCCTGGCAGAAGTTATGCATTATCAGAGTTTCACTTGCTACATTTTGTGACCCTTGCCCATTGTCTTTTCTATGTGGACCTCTGAGAAGAGCCTGGCTTCTTCTCTGTAGACCTTTTACTGAGTGGAAGACTCAATTTAATGTCTCCTTTTGCTTTTGTACTACAGGCTAAGCAAGTCTTTTTCCTCCAGTCTCTCCTGTATGTTATATGTTTTGGCACCCAAACTATCCATAAACGTCCCTTCACCAGACTGTCCAGATTGATATTTATTCTGTTCCACAGCTGAACAGAAAATTGCAGAGATGCCAAATGGAAGCTAATTAGCTCTTCCCTGGTCCTTCTGAATGCAGTCACTATGTAGGTAGATTTTATAACTTCCTATTAAATACATAGGACTTTAAAGTGATGATTTGAGAGGGTGTTTTATCAGGCTTGGCTAACACAAGACAAAATGCAATAGAAGACAGTTGAAAAAATCCTTGGCTATTTCATAGAGTTTTATAAAATTGCTCAACTAAAAATTTTAAAGTGGGACAGAAGAGAAACTCTTGAAACTCTTGCTTTCTTAGTTGAAATTAAGACAATTGGTGTGATAGTTTTCCCCCCAAACACTTTTCTTCATCATCATCCTTCCTGCAATCCTTTTCCAGCTGGATCTGAGTTTTCTTGGGTTGATTTCGTATAGGAACAGGGTTTCTTTTGATATTTTTCATAAAAATGTATGCATTGGAAATGCAGCAGTTATAACATGGATTTACACGTAGATGTATAATACTGTAGCCTCATATAACTTCCATAATATTGTTGTCATTAAACTAAATGTATATAATATGATTGGTTTGTTCTGATACATATATATATATACACAAATATATATATATATATATAAACACAACATGGATAGCTTAATAAATTCTTTCAATTAAAAATCTTGAAATACTGTGCCTTCACATTCAATTGAATTCCTTTTAATTCATGATCAGGTAATGTACCATAAAAATTAAACATTGCCCAACAACAAAATGATCATGGTTCATTGCATAGAAAAATGAGCAGGGAGTACAGTTTCTTGATTAGTTAATAATAGCAAAACATTAACTTTCCCAAGGTCTTTGTTGGGTCTGAAAACATATCCTATTGTATAAAATCCATTTATAAAAATGTACTTTCAATATGCATTCTGAAAGAAAGAATATACAAAATGTGGATTTCCTGCAACAAGGCTACCTGAAGTTCAGTTGTACTGACACAGTGCGGTGTGTCTCCCTCCTGTTAAGCTCAACAAGTTCAAGATAAACAAAGAATCAAACTTGGCAACTGTTACTCAGAAGTGAAATCCCTCTTCCCGGCGGAAGTTCAATGACATAAAACTCCAATGGATAACTCCTGTGAAAAATTAAATATTCCCCTGAGTAAGGACTGTAGAGGAGGCCATCTAGCCCTGAATATTTCCATCTGCAAAACAATTCTAGTAGTGAGTAAATGAGCATAAAGCTCTCATAGTCACAACCTAATATGTCTGAATTTGGAATTTAGGGGAGTAAAGGATTAGGAGAGACTCAATTATTTAAGAAAGAAACTACCATAATAAATCTCTTTCCTTTGTTTCCTTCAGGTGACAGATGGCCATGAAGTTATTCACATACTTAACAGTTTTCTTGCTAAAAAGGTACTTGTAGTTTCATTGAAATTACTAACAGAATGGGGTCATTCTATACAGAACAGTTTTGGGTGGGGAAAAATCCTCATTCCTTCACTATACCTACTACCCTAAATAGCCTACATGTGAAAAATAGCTAAAGAGCTTGTTGATGATGGTCTTTCTAAAAAATGCTTACATATTAAGATAACCAGTTACCAAAAGGAGAATATCCAACTTCCCCCTGTACCATTGTGTTATTGAATTTCATTTCTCCATAGGTTAATTGTGATGTTCTTGGCATGTTCTTCCAGGTCAGCTGATGAAGCAGTAGTCATATCTCTTAAATTTGAAGAGAAAAAGAATCATAAGAATGAAATAACAATTACAGTGTAATAGAGAACAAGAAAGTAGATGAGAACAAAGGAAGAAATACTAGTGAGGAAGGTTCTGATTCAATGTTTTATTTTTATCGTTAATTTCCATGATTTTATAATCACACATTTTCAGTTTTCCATAAGTATGACTTTATCTTTTCTGCAGTGTATTGCCTTCTTAGCCAGGCTTATCACCGTGATAGGAGATTACTTCAGATGGCTTAAAGATGACAGGATGCAAGGAGGTGATAAGCTGTCACATATCCAGCATAAGTTTCTCTCTGCTAAGTCTCAGCCTGTCCCACTGTGAGGCCTTTGAAAAGAGTGGGCATCGTTTCAAAAGACAAGAACAATCACCCCTCTGCTCAAATTTCTTTTACTGCAGCTGGTGGGGAACTCTGCCACCACAGGTGACAATGTTCTTTCTTTAATGCTGAACAGACATATCTGAATGCAGGCTTAATGATAAAGAAAATGTGTTAGATGAAGGCTTAAATATTCTGGATATCTAAACAGTCTGAATAATTTAATACCCTGCAGTCTAAACTGTGGCTGCTATTTTGGTTGAACGGGTTATAGCAAAGTGATGCTCAGGGACAGGCCAGGGCATTTTCTATGCCTCTGTAATCTGGACCATCCATTTTCAAGAAATTAAAATAAAATTCAAAGACATAACAGCTTTGATGCAATTATCTGCAATAGAAATGTATGCCTGCAACAATGAAAAGAAAGATGTCTTGCGTATTTTTAAATATATAAGGAACTGTAGGGAAAAGTTTTGATGCAAGACTCTTTATTTGGGTAAAATTTAATTTGGGATTGTTATGGATAGTAATGCATGAGCAACAAGCAAATACATTAATTTCTCCTTGCACCAATAGGGGAAAAGGTCACAGTAGACCAGTAAATATAAAGCCCAGAGGTGAGAAAGAAGCATATCAACCATGAAATTGTATTAATTCAATAATTAAAGTGAGTCTCAGTTCCAACACAGGCTCGAGTTCTGTAGCAAGGATGTGACAAAACAATTGGGAATGGCAGTCCATTGCACTCATATTAATCATCAGGAGAAAAAGAGTTCCAGTAAATCGAACACTTTATGAACACTATCGTGTATCTAGCCCTGAACCTGATATCATCTCATTAATCAAACCAATACACAGGGAGTGAAATTTCCACCTGAGTGTAGTTTTGAGAAAGTGGCAGTGAAAAGTGGTAGGGTCATGTTTTTGTTCTCAGATGCTACAGCAGAGCCAGGCTTTGTAGTGCTCTTCCCAGCAAGGGAATGAAAACAGTGCTGTAGAGGGAAATTAATTATTATCAGGGACATTCCAGCTGGAAATCTGTGTTGCTGCAAAATGAACATATTTCAAGAAGTTGAGTGTTTCCTGCTGATCTTGTTAGGTTCCCTTGTGTTTAAGGGCTTCAAAACTTCTACGGAAATGCAAGTTCCTATTAGGGCTGGCAAGGAATTTAGAATTTGATTTTGCATTTTAAATATTTTATTCGTTTTCCCTGTTCAATCCCAGAAACATGCAAGAAAAAGAGATACTCCAAGATAAAATCAGTGGCCCAGTGGCTGGGATATTCATTTAAAATCTGGAATTATCTCATGTCCCCATTTCCAGTGTAAACCTTCTTGAACAGGTGTGTTTTTTCTGGGTTACTATCATTTATGAAAAACACCAATGGATGTTTTGGAGGGAGATTAGAATAGCTCACAGAGATATGGTTGCTGCTCTCCAATGAAATGTGTTGCAAACAGAGGCAAAATAGGGAGTGAATCCCAAGTGTGTGCCTGGGCCATTTGGATGCCCTGTAATTAGTGTTTCCTGTCAACATGAATGCTCCCCTTCACCTGTGAAGGCATCCAAATGGAAAGCTCTTAGTTTTCACAACTCATAGCTATTCTGATTAAGGAAATGTCTCAGGAAGTTTCCAATCAGTTCATATGTCTAATGTTCTTGGACAAACCCCCTCAAAATGTAATTAGCAACAAGATTAGATCTGTAACTGTCTTATTACAGGAATATTAAAGACTGCACCCATCCCACTTTTGTTCTTTGTCTCAACAACCATTTTCTTCATCAACCATTAAATTTAGCTGCAAGGTGTCCAGGTATAGGTTGAGGAGTATTTTACATTCATTATTTACATTTATAATTAAAAAAAAAAAAATCCTGCAGTGTTTAAAAAATGAAACAAGTATCCAGCCGTACAGTAAACAGATTTTTAAGTACTTATGGCTTCCTTTAAAAGCCCCTTCACTATTTTTATAGAACACTGGGCTCACAGTTTACACAGGATCAGTTAATATCAGAATGGATGTGACTTAATTTCACAATAAAGAAATAACAGCCAAATCATGGAAGGGGAAAATGAGGAATGGATACACATAAATTTGGACTGGAGAACCAGAGAAGTTTAATTCTACACTCAGAATGACATTCCTTAATTTCCTGCTACTTTGCTTCCATGAATAGCTATACTCACTTTATATATATTCCATTTAAAAATATATTTTCAAGAACGCCTGCATTATATATTCACATATATACACATATATGTGCATATATTCACATTCTTGAATCTTTGTTTGAAAGCAGTAATTTTTTAGAAATACAAATAAGACAATAGCTGTTGAAAGACAGATTTTGACTGATAATGAGTCAGATATTTAGACCATTCTAATAGCTTTTTAAATCAATTATTCAAAATACCTCTTTACCAAATCCTATGGCTGCAAAATAATTTTCCATTACGAGTTAAATCAGACCGTAATTAATTAGACAAATACACTTTTCAGATCACAATTTTTCTGCTTTTCCACAACGTATGCAAATTTTCGTAATGATTTTATAATAAACTTTCCCTTAGAAGCTGATAACTGGTAGCTTCAGTAAATTATCATACACACATTCAGATTTGTTAATTTAGCATCAACAGCTATGCTGAAAATGCAATGGCATGTTTAAAAAGTTGGTCATTTCATCACGACAGGCTCTAACACTTCATGGTTCTCTGTGTATAAATATTTATTGAGAAAAATTGGTAGGACATAGGTATGTAGCCTTGTAAAAACAATTCTGCAGACTTAATGATGTCAGTAGGAATCTATTTTCCTTTAAACATCATTTGTTAGTGGCTAGACATTCCTCTTCTTTCTGGACTTTCCCAGGACCTAGCAGAGAGCAAATAAGTTACTTTCTGTTTTTGATTTATTAAAAATATGCAACATCAGACAATTTTGTGCCACAGGAGTTTAAAAAAAATTGTTCAGAGAGGTGTAATATGTTATATGGGGCCCTCAAAATTCCTGCCAAAGTATTTACTGGAGGTCTAACTTGTGAGAACCATATCTTACATTCTACCATTTTCTCCTTATCCTCCACTGAGAACAATAGATTTGAAAGGAGAAGAAAAGGTTAAACAAATATTCAGTTGAAGAGTATGCTTGCAACTTTTAAAAAACAAAATATTTCTGGTGTACTCAGGAAATCACCTCTTGCAATTTCTGATAAAACTTGATGTTGATAAAAATTACATTTTTGTCACTAATTATTTTTTAGTGTCAAAATCTCTTTATATTAAGTCAACAAACTAATTTTATTTTATTATTTAAAATAACTAAAAACTGAAAAGGACCTTCCTAACAATTTGCCATGTAATTATAAAGGTTTTTTGTGCTTTATAATGTTATTCTGTTAGAAAAAATAAGAATTCATAGATATAGAGAGTTGACTGGAGATATTAGGCCTTTAAAAAATAATTAAAGACTCAGTTGTGAACTTATTGAAATAATTTTACTAAGAAAATATGAACTAGTGGCATATACCCTACCTACAGAACCTAATTGTCTTTGTAGGGCACAGTGAGAATTGGATTGTTGTGATTTATATTAGCTACAATTTATACTGCTTGTTCCAGAGTAGATGAAAAATAAAAGTACTAGAAAAGCAAAAATTATTAGCAGCAGCTACAACAATATTATTCAGAACTTCAAAAACATGAACCTGTTGGAACCTCAGACTTTGGTTTGCTGACTCAGACAATGAAAAGTGCTGTGTTGTGCCTCTGATGATCTTCACAAGAACATATTTAAGGGCAAAACTGAAACTCATGTTAAAACTTCATACTATTCAAATTCCTGAGTCACCAGTAGGGACATTTACTTATGGAGGACTTTTATACAAAATAGGTCAAAATATAATATATATATACATACACATGTCTGTACATGCATATACATGCATACACATTTATATCTCTACATATGTTTGTCAAGCTATTTGTGCTTATAGCTGAAACTAAAAGCATGGTTGATAAAAACACTGGAGATAAATGCAAAAGAAAATCTTTCTGATGCTCTCACAGCGATCACAAACAAAAGTATTTTTCACATGTTTCATTTCAAATGTTGATTGATGGTCAATGTAGCTTCCAAATTTCAACCTACATCAGTGATGGAAAGTTAAAGCAAGCCTCTGATCCTGTTAGTCTGACTCATTCCATCATAAAGGCCTTGTAGAAATTCTGTGACATATTCTTTAATGTTATTCTTTAAGGAATATCATAAATAAATATTCTTGTGAATTATGAGAATTAATTTTGCCTCTGGTTTTGTTGTATTAATAAACAGAAAGCAAGGATTAACTATTAATTTTGGAAATAACTTATTACAAAAATAGTAGTCCTACACATATGTAAATGAAAGCCTTATGACTACACAAATATTTTGGTACTATTTTTGATGCAGCTGAGGGCAATTGCATCTGTAGTTCACATTAGACACACAGATATGGCACTGCCATGAGGCTGGAGGCACTTTTTCTGTGGGAGGGATATCCTGGGAAAAGAGATATTCTGGACCTACATTACAACATATCCACAAGATGTGCCTTTAACCCTCCACAGAGTAATATATAAAATCTGAAGCATATGGTTCTTCCTCAGGCATACCTATTTGCCAGTGAGTAGCATTACGGTAGTTTTATTTTCAATATTTTCACTACCTTTTTTTTATATATATATAAATCAGCTTCAAGTATTGGAAAGCAAGTATCTCATTCCAAAGCATAAGATGAGGTCAGATGAGATAAGACAAGATGAGAAATCATGAGATGCCAGCATCAATGAAGAATGTGAAAATCACTTTGTTAGGCAAATCCTGTAAGGTCTCATTCTCCACAGAGCAACTAGGAAAAAACAGATGCCTTCTATGACTTTCAGTTGGACACTTCTCATGTGGAGAGGCTGGCCATGAAATGTGAGCCATTTTTTCATTTGATGAACACTCATGTGTTTAGCTGGGCTCAACCTGGGGCTGCTATGGACTGCTGCCCTCCCTAACTATTATAACCATTGTACAGCAAATTGCACTGAACTGCAATCACGAGCTATATAGACTACTTAAGTCTCCTTGCAACTCAGAAATGCCAATATTTCTACTTAAAATTAGAGACATGTCATATGGTCTGGAATATACGTTTGGCAAGTTCACTCTCAGTGGATTTGTTCCTTTATAATACGGTCACTGCAACCATGACCAAGGATCATAATCAAAAACCAAAGTGCACTACTTTTTGTCCTGTCCTAGCTTTGAAAATGACTGCTGATCCTGACTACTTTAGTCAGGATGCATCTGGAATATAAGCATCTGTTTTATGCTAACTTGAGCAAATGCAGGTTATCTGAGCAAATTATATATTTGTGCATGTCTCTGTGTGTGTGCGTGTGCATGAACATATGTACATATGTTCCATTTGGCCCAATAAATCCAATTTCAAATGATCATATACTCACCCCTTCCAGTGACTTTGTATGTAACAAGCCACATTCCTGGACAGCTGTGCAAATTCTATGGTATTTTTATGCAGCTCCTCCAGAAAAATACGTCCCTACACATTTTGTAAAAATCAGTACAGCAACCATGAAAATGTTTCATTGTATAATAAAAAGGTGTTTAAAATGTGTTGTAATACATCACAGGCTTCCCATCCAGGACAAAATCATTGTTTGATTCACAGAAAGTAAATTCTTTCAATCAGGTTGTCCTCTGTCATAAAAAAAAAATAACTTAAGATTTAATTAAACAAGAAATAATCATAAAATGAACAAAAAATAAACAAGATAAAGTACACCAGCTTAAGGTTTTCCCCACTTAAAACACTGAGAAGTTAATACTATGTGTGGGAATAATTCTAAAGATAAGATAAATGACAGAATCCTAAAAATACATGGGGTTAAAATCTGACAAAAAGTTGTATTTGTTCAGTAATCATACCTGGAGCTTCCCAGAATTTTTAAGTGCACAGTAAACCTTATGAAATTCTCTGCCTGCCTGAACTAAGTATAGAGTAATGAGGTTACATTTTAGAAATATAATTTGCATATTAAATCTCACCAGAGGTGATAATTTCAGCACTATCAGTGGGAGTTTATACTCAAGACACCAGATAAATGTTACACAATATCTTTTCCTAGCAACACCCTGTGTCAGCTGAGATTAAGGTTGTCAGAGTACCCAAAATAAGGTTTAATTCAGGTCAATTTAAAATTATTTTTTAATATTTCACATCTCAGTCTAGAAATTTCTAGTTTCATTCCACAGGACATGATGCAGCACTAAGTATTGGAAAATAGGGATCTTTTTTAATGAAGAATTAATATTTATGGAATATTTGGCTATATCATAATCTTTTCATGAACAAAACTAAATAATAGTGGGAGAATCGTGTGTTGGAGAAAGTGAACACACAGCAGCATTAACCTCCAAATAGTCATGCTCATTCATGCCAGCAGTGCCTTGTGCTGTGCAGTTTGCCCTGGGACACTGCTGAGCCTGTCCTCCGGTGGATATGGCCTCTTCCCAGGTAGCAGAATGCGCTTGGCTCGCTGCACCTTCTGTCTGGCACTGCACCGGAGGCCTGCAGAGCCTGACACTGCACAGTCTGTCACGTCGCCTGGCTTTAGCAAAGCTGTGCTAAAGTGTTGCAGGCTCTGTATTTGTTGACCATCAGAGTTCAGCTGGGAGACAATTTATCTTTCTTAAATACTCGTTATCTTTGTTAGCTAACTCATCATCGTTTAGGCAGCTTAAGTTCATACACATGAAGGGCACAACAGCTAATGCTGTCAATGTGGACTTTGAAATGATCTATGAAGGAGAATATAGGGCCAGTGCTTCATAATCATATACTAGAAGTGAATTACCTTTCAATACTTTTTCTGTCCATAAATCTGAAATGCTGTCAGTTCAAAATACGCAGTTGTTTCCCCGGGGAGTCTCAATTTAGATCCCATGCCCCCTCTGCAGTGCAAGGCTCCTTTACCTGCCTTTGCAGCTGTTTGACTAAGGTCAAGTGTGTCATCTGAGGTCACAGAGGGAAAGAATGACCCAGAAAGATGCTGAAACCAGGCCAGGACCTTTCAAAGTTCCCTGCTGCAACTACTGAAGCACACTGTCTCCCTTGAATAATTCTGCCTGTTGATCCCCACTGAACATACACATTTCCTAGTGCCACAGGAAATGAAAGCATACATCTAAGCTGTTGTAAGAGCTAGCATGCAGTGGGAACAAAACCCTTTTTTTACTGTTATGTCAATAACATTACTTCCATTCATGTACTTCAGGATATCCTTACATCCTGAGAAAAAATGGAAAAGAATACAAACCTGTGTCAAAATACATCTTGCTTCACACCGTGAGTCAAAATCCCAGCTTTGTGGCTCTTAGATGTTTGCCTTTTCTTTGATGGGATTGAATTTAACAGTTTTGGTTTAGATTTTTCCATCACCAAGACAGTTTGACACACTTTTCTTTCAGGAAGAAGACATCGCTGCATTTATGAGAATCAGAGTAATCCTACAAAGATTTCACACATAAAAGCCAGCCTTGAGTTACCTGCAATGTTCTTTATTTGCTACCACCATTCACACAGAAGGTTTGGGGTAAATACCGTGAAGTTACAGCCCAGCAGGTAGCCTGTGTATGGTGTCCTACATCAAAGACAGACAAAAATAGTGGATTAAACTACATACCTGAATGAAGTGGTAGGATCTGATTGTTGCATTGTATGGGGTCAGTTTCTGTGTACCTAAAATGAAAAAAAAATATATATACAAGAAAAGGGAGAGAATTAAACCAAAATCACAATTGAAAGCAACATTTAAAATATTTAGCTTTTCACTTTTCAAAATCCCAGCTCCAGACCTCATGTTTAAGTTTTCTTTGCTTCACTCACAGTGATTCCAGATGTTTAACTGGCATATAAGCAGGACCAGTAGTATTTTCCTTCTACCTGTAGGGAGCCAATATGGCTCACATTCCATCATTTAAATGCAGAACTAGTCCATTAGTTAAAATAATAGCAATTCTAAACTCCTGACATCCTGCTGGCACAGCAAGGGTGAGAGTTTAAAAAAGGCCTATGTACCAGCCATACCTTGGGGCTTGCACTCAGCTTGGGGCAGGTGACTTTCCCACCTCTCATCTCAGTCTATGTTTTTGTTCTGCTTTTTCTTTGTAGACTGTACCTTGTCTTACTCGATGTTCTGTGAACCTCCATTGCTGGTAGGAAGTACTCAGGACATCTGCTCTGAATTTACTTTTCAGATAATATCTATATGTTTGGGGATTTTTTTTTTTTTTTTGTAATACTGCAGTTAGGTTGGAACTGGCAGTCTGCAGGAGGGAAGGAAAGATCAGTACTATTTCTAATACCAACAACTATTTGCAAGCCCAGGGACTTCAGCAGGTATCACTTTCCTCCCAGTGACACACAGCTATCTCAAATGAGAATACCACAGACATTTTTTAACAGTAACACTGCACAACAGTTTTAAACAAAGGAAATGAAATATGTATTTATTCATGGCTAAAATACAGGGCAATTCCAAGGATGCAGAATGGAATTCACCTGGAAATGGGCCAGAACATGGAGGCCAACTTTTCACCCTGGGAAAGGATTGATGTGCAGTTTTCTGTGATCAGAGGTCATCAAGGTTTCAGCCTTGTAACTAGCCATAGGGGTCTACAGCTGTGGCCTAGCTCAAATTAGGCACTGAAGAAAACAGTAGGGAGGAGTGATCCAGCTCTCCCTAAAATAAATAGCAGGACTTCTGTAGGAGTTAGAGCACAGTGAATCACCACTTGTTTCTTAAACACCCTATTTTATCCTTGGGGCTCAAGTCACCTTCTTTTTAGTTATGATATCTGATGGGATTTCAGCCTAAGCTCTGTGGCTATGATCTTATGTCCTATAATTCAACCTGCTTCAGAAAATCTCTATTTATTGAGTGATGAATAATAGAATTACTTAGTAGCGTCTTTTAGCTTTCAGAAAGGAAAACACAGTATTGTATGCACTATTTCAAAAGTTTTCCTCTATTTTCCCGTGAGGATTTATTCTTAAAAAAAAAAAAAAAAGCCTCACTGAGAAGTATAGTAGTTAATTCAGATGGTTTCAAGTCGCCTAGAGCTATTGACTGATATATGCAAAACCTTGCCATTATGTTTTCAAAACAGCGACAAATAGAATTAGGAGTGCAACTCCTTTGATGATACTTCGAATTTTTTTTAAATTACCTTCCATTATTGTCTGGGCTTGATCCTTCTCCCCCAGAAAGTAGTGGGAGTTCTGCCACTGACTTCAGGGGAAAGGGAATTGGATTGTTTTCAGCACAGATTTTAAAACAAAGGCTTGAAATTGGCAGGAATAGAACCCTGTGCTATGAATCGAGGCAGTAGGTTGCCAGATGGCAACTTTTCGGAGTTATGCAAACAAATTTGGTTTTTTCAATACAAATATTTGAAGGGAAAAAAAAATGAAGAGTATTATTCTCATTTACCAAAGTGTCAGATCAGAGCCTTCTAAATTTTAATTTGGTTCCAAGAAAAATAAAATCTTTACCAAGATTGTTATTGCTCTAGAAAACACCTGAGTCTGGCTTTCCATGACAATTTGTACTACTTCAGATATAGTTTTGGGGAGGTGAAGAAAAACAGGAGTACTGGGGAAGGCAGGAATTCACTCTGTTGCTGGGGGAAGGCAATTTAGGAGCAGTTGGTTGACCTCAGTTTGAGGAAAACATGTTTTGTACACAACCTGAAGAGAGAGTGAGATGCCCTGAGAAGGCATTTTGAGCTTTTAAGATACATCCTTGAGGTTAGGCACTATGAGTAGCCCCATAACTCACAAGTGAAATTTTCAACATATGGATGTTGAAAATTTTCAACCACCCAGACCTACTCATCACTTAACAACCAAGAGAAAGAGGCAGGTCAAGAATACCAGAAGAGTTCTGTTATTGGACTTTTGGGTCTATTATGCTCTGGTCTGGTTTAAGTCAAGAACACACAGCAAAGACAGAAAGTGAATATAAAGCACAAAAAAGGTAGATTCTGTTTTTCCTTGAAAATTAACTTTGGATCTATTTGGAAAAATTACCTATAAGCAATAAAGAAAATTAGTATTGCTGATATCAGAAGACTTGACATTTCGCCTATTCAGTAAAAAGGCTAAACAGTAATAGTTTTGTATACAGGTCAGAATAAGAGTGCTCTAGGACCTTAACTCCACTATCACAGTCCTTTTCTCCACTGCATCTAGCATTAAAATAAAAAACAATAAAACACATCTGCCCTGAATTCAATCTACATACAGTTTCCTTCCGCCTGTGGTGAGGGGTGTGCTTTTGGAATGGTAGAAGATTTCATCTTTTAACATATAATGAAATCCACATTCCAGTCAAATATGATCAGCCCTGCCAGTGAACAAAGATATTTTTATTGTTCATGTTTGCCTTCAGAGTGCCACTGCACATTACTAAGCATGTTGGCTTCTTGCCACCTCTATTTTAAGCTGTTGAGAAATCTGGGAAGTGAAGAAATATCTGCATTTGCTTTTTAAGGGTAAAACCACTATTTAAGTAAGCAGACATTTTAAATAACTTAGGCTAGAAAATGCATCTGTTCTTAGATGGACATGCTTCTTTTAGTTAGACAGAACTGACTATATCTTTGAGTTAACCTCTTGTTCCTCATAACCCACTTGTGTGCACTGTGTTGACCTCATGGGAAAGAAAATCAAATCAATTGTAAATTGCCTGAACAGATTTGTCTGAACCCATGGAGCAGCAAATCCTACATCTACATTTTTCACTCAAGACAAGTGGTACTTGCCACACCTTCTACTCAAAAGGTCACACAGAATTTTTTATACCCACTAACAAAATTACAGCAGTGGGCCACAGGTTTGAATTCATTCTCTTCATATGATTCCTAGACCATGGAGGAAGGGAGAAGAGAATAGTAGAAAAGTTCAGAGGAGCAAGGCGAGAAAGTGGGAAGGAACACTTTCATGTTGATGAAAGAGTTTCATTTCAGATGGATCCTCTCTTCAGCTAAGTTTGGGGACTGGCATATGGCATATGCTACAGATGGATAGGCAGCAATACATGTACAGCTGTAAGGTTCTGGCACTCCTGGTCCTGGCCCACGCTGCCAGCTGGCCAGCAGAAAGCAGGTTTGCAGGATGATTTGATTTTCCACAGCTGTTGTACAAAGCATGAGGTCAAGGGAGGTGAGAAGGAGAGTGAGGGGATTGTAGCTGACTGGTCCTTGCTTACAGCACAGAGGCTGAATTCACCCATGACAACTGCAATATCCCAGGCAGCAACTTTCCCCATGTGCAAGCCCTTCATTTAAATGATGTGCTGATGTAAGGTTTAGGTCTTTACTGGGCACTCTAGAATCTCTTATGGTACAAAATTCATGAATACCATGCAAGATGGGTGGTTCTTGTCTAATCTTGTCTAATGTTTACTTGTCAGTAAATATACCAAGTAGATTGAAGTATCATTTTTTGAAAAAAGGACATCTCTGATAGCTATGTTTATGAAAACTCACTCTGTCACCCCTCTGTGTGTTGACAACAAATAGTTTTGTAAAAGAAATCAAAATAAGATCCCCTTGTTGCTGGAATTATATTCAAAAGCAAAGTCCTCTGCACACAGCCCAGAGCCTCACATTTTGGCTAGTGGGGTTTGAATCACAATTTACTATTATTTTCCCAGGAGTCAAAAGTCACTATATTCACTTTAATAGGATGGCTTACTAGAAATATTTAATTTCATAGATATAAATTTTAATGAAATTTAGCTGTATATTAATTATTTGAAAATGTTTATAAACAGACAGTTTTATTACTATATTATGACAAGCCATTTGAACAAAAGGTTTCCTATGAAATTACCTGATAACACTACTTTATTCAAAATGGTAAGGATAAGGCTGGAGTATGAAAAATTCCATATTAACAGGCCTGAGTAACTGGATAAAAAATGTCAGAAAGAATACAAATATGGGAAAATCCCCCCTATGCAGAAAGGCTGAGAATGTTATGTTTGTGCTGCATGGAGAAGAAAAGGCTCTGGCCTCATTGTGATTTCTAAGGGGGCTTATAAGCAAGATGCAAAGAGGTATTTATAGCAAGGCCTGTCATGATAGCACAAAGTGTAATGGTTTTAAACTGAAAGATGGTAGGTCTAGAGTAGGTATTAAGAAGCATTTTTTTACTGTGAGGGTGGCAAGGCACTGGAACAGGTTGCCCAGAGATGCTGTGGATGCCCTAACCCTAAAAGTGTTTAAGGCGAGGTTGGATGGGGCTTTGAAACATTCAGTCTAGTGAAAGATGTCCCTGCCTGTGGCAGGGGGATGAAACTGGAGGACCTTTAAAGGTCTCTTCTAACCCCAAACATTCGAAGATTCTATGATTCTGTGAAATTCTCAGCATGAGTAAAAAACCTCTCTACCTTCAGATATACAAGGTGATCTCTGATCTGTTCATCACTCTGTAGGAACAAGACCTTGAGGGCATGATAAGTAGTTGCACAAAAACATCATCTTAGTATTCAGAGGCACTCAAAAAAGAAATTATTATACTAGGAATTATTGTGAAAGAAACAGAGAATAAACCAAAAAGTATTATTCTAGAATATAGATCTATCATTCACTCTGACTTTTAAATTTGTACTCTAGTTATCTAATCTCAGAAAACATATGTATCAGCAAGGTTCAAGCACTACTAGGATGGTT